TGGTGTATGTAGGTGATGGCATTTCTATATTCCCGGCCTAGGAAATGGTTTACCTGAGTGGATATAAGGTTTGATTTTCTAACCAATATGGAGCATACATAACATTGTCTATCGTCTTTCCTTCATGCTCTTCAAAGCTACTTTTGAGTGCGTAGCAGCCTCTAGACATTTTTTTGCTGGTTTTTTGCAAAAATTGCATTTCGCCGATGGAGTTCAGAGAGGCTGAGGCGTTTTCTTCTAAACTAGCTCTGGCGAGTACTGCAAATTGTTCTATTAGTTTTAATATTTATATCTCTTTAAATTTCAACCAAAACAGTGAGAAGTTCCAAAGTCCATCTCATCTCATTTTCTCCAACACTCGAATTCCACGAACTAGTTCCGAGGTTCTGGTTGTAATGTCAGAAAGGTTTTTACTTGATATTCGGTTATATGTGTTTCATTACAGCATCGACGGCGGTAGAGAAGTCACATGTTGAAATACCGAGCTATGGACGAGCTGGCCTCTTATTTGCGGCGTATTTTGGCTATCTATCCAGTCTCATATATCTGTTGGAGGTTAATTTTCGGCTTCTTCCTATTTCAAAATGCTCCATTTCAGTTTTTTTTCTATTTACTGAACAAGCTGCGATGTGTACGAGATACACAATTAATTTTTATCCGTTATTATCATGGTTGGCACCCAGTACCTGACGGTGGAGGGATAGGCGATTTTTCGCCTGACCAGAGTTTTGTTGAGAAGTTCACTTTAGCGGCAAATTTGGCCGCTGTGTTGTTGTTATCTGAATGGGAACCCCTTTTACTAATGGCACTGAGATCAGAAGTCCTCTCCAAACCTATTGCAACCCCGAATAAATCTATTCCTTCCTGAGCAGTAGGAGGGTTGAGTAGACAAACGGATCATTAGACGAGATGAGAGAATAACGAAACGGGACGGCAAAACGGAAACGAGGGAGCTTAATAGGGCGCGATAAAGAGGCAGCGCAACGGTGGGCGTGCATGGTTGTTTGAGGTGCTATGATTGCAATTTTTGAAATCCTAGGGCCCTTTCGATGAGCTTTTCGTCGCAAGAGTGATTCCATCTGTGGTTGAGGACCCATAGAAAGTGTTCACAGATGGATTCGGTCTAATGACCTAGTCGCAGAGTGGCCCATCAACTTTCCGGCGACATCGAACTTCCGTCTTTTGTCATTTATGAGAAATAAGTTTTTGTCATTTATGAGAAATTTTCAGAGAGAACCGAAGTTGGTTTTTGCACGCGATCCCCGTGGGCGAACTGCGTTGCATCTGGCGTCATGGAGAGGCCACTATCAGTGTGTGGAATACCTGATCGAGAAGGGGGTAGAATTGGAAGCGGCTGACGAAAACGGCGCCACAGCTTTGATGTATGCTGTAAAGGAGGCATCCTCGGTGCATATCGTGGGTCAGTAGCTTTACTCTTTCTGTTTGAGTTTTCCTTCCGCTGGTGGACATTGGTTTTAGTTTCTTCAGAATATCTTTTGCACAACGGAGCAGATGTGTCCAAAAAGGATCGCAACAACAACACAGCTTTACATCACTGCTGTTTGAGCAAGAGCGAGGAATGCGGAAAGGCACGTGTTTTCAAAGGAATTAGAACCTTAACTACTTTAAGTATGTTTTTAGGTGTTGGCGAATCATTTGGAGAAGTACGACTCGAAGAGAGAGATTTGTAATGCCATCAATAATAATGGCGAAACGTTAGTTTTTTTTCCTGCATAAAGATTCCTCTAGCATTGACGTTCCTCTTCTCACTCCTTGTTACCAGTTCAATAGCGCCCCACGCTTTTTATAAATTAGTTTAACATGACCAAATCTCGATATGCGTCTTCTTGATAAAATTTCGTACTGTAGTGTTCTAGAAATCGTGCTATATAATTTCAGTCAGATGCGTTTCCGGACTACTTGAACTCGGCTTTCAAACTGCATCAATTTGATGCTCTCGCATGCGCTATCTCTCCTAAAGTCAAACTTTTTCACACTGAACAGGTTCACTCACCCAGAGTCCCTTCCTTCCATGCCTCCCCCTTGAACGGCTTAGTCTTAGGGCTTTCACCTTCGTCCTTGGATTTGGGGCCGGGCCAAGTGCCGTTCTCTAATCGTTTATGCTCTAGCCATTCGTGTTTGGGCCATAGAAGAAAGTCCAAGTAGCCTGTAATTAGATTTACTTGAGAGGTAGGTGTCACGATGAATTGGATGGAAATATGCTTACTGTAATGGGAGGTAGTTCATTAGGGATTTAGGCGAGGTGAGTTAACTGCAAAGCGTGCTCCCGCAGCGGCCCACCAGGGCCCTCATAAAGTATTAAATGCTCTTATTCGTGTGATGAAGCATTATTGGTTTGTGAAGTAAGCTCATAAGTTTGCTATGATTCGTTCATATGAACTGACTCATCTTTCAGAAGCTTTGCACATCGCCCTAAGAAATGGTTTGATCGAATTTATGCTGAGTTTTGTTCCGTTCAGCATCGATTCGATGTGGATCAAGGTAGGCCTTATGAAGTTGCTAAAAAAAGATCATGTGTTCTCGAACACTTCCACCTGTAAAGCCAACGGAAATCTAACGATTAGACCTTGAGGTTGTTTTATTCATCTCAAAATTCATGCTACCTGTTAGGATTCGAGCGGCTCGACTCCCATTTGAGGCCGCTGGGATTATCTACCTCGTGGAACTGTAATGCAGTTGTTATTTCGTGCATGATGAACCAGGCACCGCTGGGAAAACATTTTTTTTTTTCCCCCCCCCCCTCTCCTTTTTATTCCCAGCTCGTACGGCAAAGTAACGTTCGCATACATGTATAATTCTTCACTTGTTTCTTAGTTTCGTGGCTTTAATCATTACAATTTGCTTTTTAATTTCTGCATTTTGTCCAATAATCTCCGCTGAGTGTCACCCCTCAGAATAAGATCAGGGGTAGAAGTCACGCACTTGGTGCGGGCGGCGGTCGATCTGTGCAACCGGAGAGCATGGCTCACACGTTGGGGCGAGGGGTTGCAGGACGCCCGGAAGGGCCCATCCCTATGCTCACATATCCACTTTGGTCTCGCATTTTAAGCGACCGCTCGTTATTCCTTTTTTCAATGATTTGGAACGTTGTGGTAATTTGTTTCAGATCGATTAATGAAATAATTTTCGCGTTCATTTCCTCATGCGAACCTGTTATTGACTGGTTTAGTTGAGATGAAGTAAACGAAGTAAAGTTAACGCAAAACAGAACTTTTCTCACAGACTGAGAAGTTTGTGGTCTTAATAAACTTTTGGCAAGTGTGATTACGGCAAATTTCGTATCCAAGACTGGGTTTTCTTGTGTTTATAAAGTCCCATGGTGCATAGCTTGAACCCTAGCTCGATATTAAAAAAGGATAAAGCATTTGCCGTTGATCAATCCCCTTTTGGGATGCGGCACGCATTCTACTTCCATTTGTACATTCGCAGTGGCATTTGAATGCGATGTGGCCTATACAATGACTTGCGGGGGCCAGCCGATGTTCAAGTCAGTGTTTTTTATCCTCCCAGACAAGTCTGGTACCAATTAACCGACCCCGGAGGGATGGAAGGCTTGGTTGGCCCGGGCGACTCACGACCCAGGATTTGATCCCGACCGCCCACCTCGATATTAGCTCTGCTAAAACTTTCCATGATAACATATACTGCTTTGTGCGAGTGCCACTTAAAACAAAAGCGTGAGGGCTGAGAGGCGGAGCTAATTTGGATGCATTATTGGTGCAAGAGCATTGCGAGACGTTCTCCCACACTCGCGAGCGTATTGATGATTTCTATGAGTTGTTGGTGTAAAAGCCATGTATAAGGTGCGGTAATTCTTGTCATTTAGAACCCACACACTAGGCGTTATCGCTGGGTATTCTGAGGATAGCTCGGAGTTGAATTTGTCCAGGTATTGATCAACTCTTGTTGCAGTAGTGTTGATTTAAAAGGTGCAGAGAACTCTCCAAAACATTCCCTTCGTTTTTTATTTTTATTTCCATAAATATTTAGGGCATTAGAAGCTTTGAAGGCTCACTGGCTGCAGCTGCTCAGTAGTGATCGTGTCCATCATAATCGTGTCCATGATCGTGTCCATGGCCTGAAACGCCCAAAGTAAAAATGTTGCACATTGTAAGGGTACGAAGTATTGCTGACTGTTATAATGTGTTACTGGGCCTCTTATTCCATGGTTCCCACTCCTTTGTCCATAATCGTTACCTATTTTACATGAAACAGTGGTAGAACTTTCAGTAGAGTGAAATGAGGCTTACCGTAATGGTCGTGTCCGTGGTGTCCATAAGGCATACCGTATCCGTGATAGTGGTCGTGATCGCCGTGGTGATCACCGTAATGAGACGGACCATGGTGGCCATAGCCATGATCATGGTCGAAGTCATGATCGTGACCGTGGTGCCCATCGTCGTGGTATTCGTAACCTTCACCGTGTCCTTCGTGACCGTGCTTTCCGTGGCCGTGGTCCTTGTCGTATTCGGACCCTGAAATCCAGTCAGAATCCTTTTACGATGGCGTAGAGATTGGAATGTTGATATTGCCTCACCATAATGCGACCCATGTTCCTGTCCTTTTGCGTAGCTTCCCCATCCACCGTACTTGTGGCTACCATAGTCACCGAAACCTTCCTTCTCGAACCCTTTGCTGTAACCCTTGCTGTATGAAGAATCATGGTCGTGACCATGATGACCCTCGCCGTATTCCCCGGAACCGTAGCCGTAGTGGTGCTCTAAAAACGCTTTTTCTTACATTTTTCCAGACAAAATTCCTATGTACAAATATTGCAAATACTGATGAGGATTCAGGGGCTCACCTTTGCACAAAACAATGCAGACTAATGAAGCCAGTACAGGAATCACGAGGCTGTTCATGGTTGATGTAGGAAGTGTTAGAAGATTGAAGGATATCTATAGCGACTGTTCGCCAGCTTATATACTAGGAGGTGCTGAAGCGTTCGATGGGGATCGTAGTTTTTACTGTAATGGTAACAGGTTTCGGATATTGTTCTTACAGTCATACAGCTTCCTCCGCTAGATAGTGGGTCAGAATAATCGTCTACAACTTGATTGTGAGTAAGACTATCATTCTTAGTACGTGTGCCTCAGACATAGAGCAGTAGTCGAAAAATCTTACCGTAACTTTTTCCGTGTCACTTTCTTCTCTTGAAAAGCCTCAAAGATGTACTCAGGAGTTCCTCTCTTGATCCTTTTGATCTGTGAAGGCCAAAGGATTTAGAACGATTTGATGGCATAATGTATCTTAATTTAAAACAAGTTGGTGAGGTTCCTTGGGCAGGTCATTTGCACAAGAAAACCACGTTTTGGCGATTGCTTTTGATAGCTACTATAGTGGATCGTGAGGCTACCTTACATGTATTGTGCTGAATGATGGTACGTTCGAGAGATTCTCTGAGGTGTAGAAGGCTAAGTGGAATGAATTTGTCCTGTTATTAAAGGAATCCTGCTCGGAAAAATCGTGATTCTATCTCACCCATAATTCACTGGCTTGGGACCCATCGTTCACGATAAGAACGAAAAGAACAAAAAATTGCATTTGTTTGGTAAAAAATTCGAAAAACCGAAAGGGCTGCTACGCGTTCAAAGTACCGCCGGACATCTGTCACAAATGCTGGCGACGGGAATGCTTCCACTTGGTTCTTGGAGTGCCTTCACTAGAAACTCTTTCTGGCCTTTTGACTTATTGCATTCACATCTCACACTTCTACTCCATCCTATTCTATCGATCGATTTGTCTCTACTCTCCAAAATCGCACGCTTTAACCCGATTCTTCATTGCGTCGCGCTGATACGTAGCGCCCCCAAGGCGGACTTCTTCCATGCTCTGGCTTTGGACTCCGCACCACTTACCTTCGATTGTCCATAGTGTGGTTTTTTGTATTGTTTCTCTCCTTCGAAATCTGATCCTAGCCGTGAGACTTGCTATCTTGTCTCGAGTGATTTCAGCAATTGACATATGCGTGTTGGTAAAAGTAAGTGTGCATATGATTTTTTCGAGGAAACGAATATCCTTAACAGGTAACGGGTAGGTTAAGTCAATTTAGGTTTTTGTGCACAAGTAGCCCCCCCCTCTTCAGTCACTACTATGTAATACGACAAATGTTCTGTTCCACTCTGGCATTACTTGACCCATTTTTTTTTTGCCCAACGGAGGGCTCAGTTCCTCTGCTAGTGCGCAAGTCGCCTAAGTCATGGAAAAATGATTACGACACAATCACTTGTATCGCTTCATACCTGATGCATAACTGCTCCTCCCTAGTCATGCTGTTGAAAAGATCATTTTACTCAGTGATGTTGTCCCCATATCCTTCCCAAATGTCTCGAATTCGAAAAGCCACCGTTGCAGATCTTTTGTGATATCACAACTTGCCCAAAACCCGCCAACTCTCAATCAAATCGTTTCCCTGGGTGGTGTACTTTTGAATCTCTTGTGAGGTAGAGAAAACTGTGGTCAAGTCAGAATCAAGAGCCTCGTTTTGTTGTGAATTCTCAGTGGATTTCCGATTCCTCACTATTTCGTATTTATCACGGTTGTCTGAAGTCATTTTGCTTTGGTGCTTTTGAGATTTCCTTTTTAACATTTTCGACCCCTTCGTACCTAGTTAGTTTTTATCAGCAGAATCTCTAGAATTATCATTTCACCAGTAGAGTACGGAAAAAGGCGAGGTTTTCTCTTATAGGTGGATGAGATCACCTTCCTTTCGTACATACCGTTCTTTTGTTTCATAGACTTTGAGATCAAATCATTGTCATTAAGGAGCAAAAGAACTAGTTGTTTTCATGCAGAACTTGCGTACAAGTAGAACATTTGTAGAAAAGGTCGAGTGACTGCGTCGGTAGAGAAACCAGTTGTTGAAAATATTCCAATTTCTTCGCTTTTTGAACGACGGAATATAAGGGGCAAAAGAGACCGGGGTTAACATTAATTACCCTTTTGGGCAAGGTACTACTGCTGTTTTTCTTCAATAATTTGATGCCACGCATTTGGTGAGTGTGCTGACCGCGCCACTCGGGTTTTCCGCTCGCCATGCGCATAGTCTAGGAACGGAAGTTGCTTAGATGATTTATGATAATGAATGATCACAATCAGCCTCTTGCCCCCCCCCCCCCCGGTCGTTCCGCCACGTCTCCACGGTGTATGCAACTCGAAATTGGGCACTAAGCATTTTGCTTGGAATTGCTTGGTAGGAATCACTGAAACCAGAAACTGGGCAGGACGTGTGTTGCCCGTGAAACAGTAAATCGCTCTGATTTACAGAGCTTTGATATCTTTAACGCGGGGTAGATAAACTTGTGACGCAGGCGTAAGGATTGATTTGGAAATTTCTTGGAAATTTTTGTTCTTCAGGAAGTTACATGTCATATATATGTTCTGTACATAAGTACGTATTTTGGGACGTTTCTATAATGCTGAACAGAAGCCGAATGAATGGTTGATTTTGAGAGATCTGAGACCTTTCTACTTCCGCGCTTTTTTGCAATGGACCTGACGTCGACATCGGCATTCCTCGTTTCTCTTTGTCTCGATCTCAATGACGTTTTGTCGCCTCCTTGCCTAGCTTTCAGCTGCCATGTTTTTCTATTGGCGCTAGTATTCATCTTTGTTTCGGCCCTTTATTCTCTCCTATTCCTTTTTTTACCTTTTATTCTTAGCAGCGACCTCATTTAACACTATCACTCTTCTTAATGCCTCGTGGACTTCTGCTCTTCACTATGTCGGTCTGCTCATCGTTTTTTCATGCACATTATCTCTTTCATTCACAACGCCGTTCACTTCCGAGAATTCCAGTCATTCATACAGCAACCTATTCATTGTAGCTTTTGTTCTGGTTTATTAACTGTTTCAAGTTCTTCATAACAGTCGCTGATTTTGGTGTTCTTTTCTGAATGCGGGTAGGAAGTGGCTTTAGATCTCATTGAAAGTGGCAGTAAATTTGCAAAGCGCTTTTTGTGGGCCAATTATGCAAGAACGGTAGTACGATATCAGTTTAAGGCAGAGCTTACAACGTCGTGGACGGTTCAAATTGGAACACGCTTCTCAGTGTAAAGTTTTCAACATCAAAACAAATCAAATCAAACGTTCAAAATTGGCACATTGCTGGCCTAAGCATGCTTTCAGAGGCATGTGTTTAGCAATCCATAAATAGATACACATCATTGTTATGTGGAGTTTGCTGGAAATATTTGATTCTATCGCCTTCCTGATTCTGATAACTGTTGAGCTTGTATGCTTTTTTTGAATTGAGTTTAGTTGTGTGGTCTATTGAGGAGTTGCATCAATTTTCGCCGCTTAAGGTAGAAGCAGCCTGACTATTGCACAGTAAGAACTGGAAGTGTCCTTCACATTAGGGAGGTGTCACACTGGACAACTGCATAATCGCCACAGCGATAGAGCTGTCGCGTTTGTGCAGTTGCTGAGTCTGACATATACCTTACACCTTAGGTATTTCTCAAGAAGTGGGGTGCATCCGGAGAATTATCGCCTCTTTTAATTTGGAAAAAAAGCGTCTGGAGCTTTCACGCTGCAATGATAAACTGAAATTTCTGAACGTTCTCAGCGTTATGTGAGAGCGGAATTCGAATATAACAGCTCTGAGGCGGTGAAAACGAAACATTGGCATTTATAGCATAAATAGTTTCTTTGCAATTGATGTGCAGATGAAACTCTTCAAATAGCTTTATGTGACGACGTTTCGGGCCGTAAGCCCTTCCTCAGGTCTACAAACACAAAAGGCTAATTGTACAACAACAATCGTTCTAGATGAAACCAATACAATACATTGAAAAAAGCCTTAACAACTGACCAGCTTAGGGATTGGATTAGGGGAGCGGGTCAGTCCAGGGAGTTTCACGTATCGCTGCAAATGATGTGAGATGACCATGGGAAAGACTATGTGAGAGGGGCTCACCTCTTTAGCTGCTCACTCGAAAAATAAGAGCCCTCTCACATAGTTTTTCCCATGGTCATCTCACATCATTTGCAGCGATACGTGAAACTCCCTGGACTGACCCGCTCCCTAATCCAATCCCTAAGCTGGTTCACTTGTTAAGGCTTCTCATTTTTCAATGTATTGTATTGGTTTCATCTAGAACGATTGTTGCTGTACAATTAGCCTTTTGGTTTGTAGACCTGAGGAAGGGCTTACGGCCCGAAACGTCGTCACATGAAGCTATTTGAAGAGTTTCATCTGCACATCAATTGCAAAGAAAGTATCAAACAATGAAACTCAGGAATCCTATGATCTTGGTCGAGCATAAATAGTGTAGCAGGCGGAATCGAATAAAAAAGCGCCTTTAGAAAATATTAGAACCAGTAATCGTGGTGCGCAGCTAATTATTTTTAGACAAGAAATCTGCAAACTGATCAACAATCGCGCGGAGAGGTGATTTTTCACCACGATTGGGGTGATGCCCGTCCCTCTCAGTTCGTATGATTGTAAAAAATTGTGATAGAAAGGGAATAAAAAGCCCCACATAACCAGCCTATTCTATAGCTTTGCCTAGAAAGGCTAAATCAATGCGTTGCTCCAAAATGCACTCGAGAGGCCCTATTAATTCATATTGTTTTGAAACGTAAGCGAATTACGAAGATTTTAAAAGGATCACAGGAACGCTGTCGTCCACGCACACATTGGTACAACCAGCGGCTGAAAAAAGCAAGGAGAATAGGGCGGGGGGGGGGGGGGGGGGGGGGGGGGGGGGGGGGGGGGGGGGGCGTCAGGAAACAATGCAAAACGGACCACCCTTTTTGGCGCGTCTGGTTTTCACAATGAACCGGTGACAGCATCAGGAAAGCGGACGCCCTGTGAAGCCGGGTTCTCCACAGCGCGTTCGAGATGGCAATCATGTCAAGCCACGCTGCAATAGAGTTGCCCCAGTTGTGTCGCTGCCAGCAGCGCAGCTCGTCGTAAATCACTCATATGCTCTCCCAATGCGCTCCCTCTATCATAATCGTCGTATTCCCTTCAAATTGTCAAATATTGTTTGCGAAAAAGATTTGCATTAATAGACAAAAGAATCTTCATTTTTGAAGTGCTTCTTGCTGTAAAATTGACAAAGTAGCGTCAAGGAACAATTACCCTCACCCATGTACTCTGTATTATTTTGCCAAAATAGTTTTCAAAAAGTGTAACAATTAGCTTAATTTGATGCAACTCTTCATTCATTCTCAGTTGTAATGATGAAGTGTCTTGACGTCAACATTTAGCTATTTGAGTGAAACACGATTTTTTTTGAATTCCACTTCTTTCTCAGTGTCCAGACGAATATTTGCCAGTGCATATAGTTAATCTCATAGGTGGATGTGGTACGGTGGTTACTGGTGTTGCTTACTTGGCGCGCGATTGGGGAGTCAAGTTTACGAGTCAAATCTTCCTCCAGATGGGCTGAACCTTACATCGCTTTGGGATCGGTTAATTAGTATCAGACTCGTTTGTGAATATAAACATCGGCTTATCCATTGGTTGCCAACTTCAAGTCATTGTGTTGGCTGAATTACATTCAATACCAGCATGGCACTGAGTCGAAGTGGGAAGCATGGCGCATCTCGGAAAACAATGAGCGCCGAATGCATTTTGCTTCAGTTTCTAATGAATTCTCAGCCTAATGGCGGTTCGGTCTTCTAGCGTGCATGAGGCGCATTCATTCTTTTCCACACCACCCATACAGCGTTTTTCATCCTTATTTTTTTCCTCGTGTCTTAGCATTTTCAGCCACCATGCAGACCCTTTTTTCCTTACCATGTCCTCCCTATCGTACGTTTTCTGCTGCGTAACGCCATTGCGATCACTAATGGTTGTTCTCATTGAATTTAACTTGCTTACTTTAACACCATCCCAATCTGAATTATGGCTGACACGCGAAAATAGAGCTCTTTTCGCGTTGCTCACCTTTTTACTTGGTGTGAGATTTTGGGCAACACAGGGATTGTGTATTGAACTGAGGACATGGTACAATATTTGCTTGGAGTACAAGTACATGTGTTTTAGAACAATTTATTACGAGACTATCTGCAAATTTAATGGTTGCTCATTTCGAAGATCAAGGAGCACGCTTGTGAGACTGATTCAAGTAGTTAGTAATGTCCGAAGCCTGAAAGTAATCATAATTATAGTTGTATCTCAGCGGGGGGTTAATTACGAGTGAAGGTGGTGTTCTGGGACCTCGCAATTTTCGGCTGTTGTAGGAATACTACTGATAGATTAGATAGGCTTTGGATAGGATGTAGGCGTCCCAGATGGCTTATATGGTTCACATTTGGTTATTTCTATGACGCAGGGTCAGTCAGCCGTGGATTCGATTCCCAGGGGTCGGCTCATGTTTTACTTTCTTCGGAAAAGATGGGTTATATTTCGTAAAAGTCACACTGTAATTGTGGAAAGCTTATTTTTAGGGAGAGGCCGGGGAAGGGGGAAAAGTGTGGTGGGAGGAGGGAGGGCGAATGAATTTAGCCACGTAATCCAGCGAAGCTGCTCTCAACTGCAATGGCTGGGAGGGGCGTGGGAAGAGGGTGGTCGTGTTATCCTCAAAATTGCCCAACGTAGAAGTGTGGTTGACCCTGCTGTTACAGCATGTTCAGCTTCTACGCTTTAAGAGACCCAGAGGAGTAGTTTGTAGACCAGTGGAGCAGTTCGTAGTGACCTCCATGATGTCCAAACGGCGAGCCGTGTCCAAAGAAGTGGTCGCCATGCCCATCATGGTGGGTTGGGCCGTGACCATAGTCGAAACCGCGGCCGTGATATTCATCGCCATGTCCTCCGTGGCCGTGATGGTTGTCGTATTCAGATCCTGAAAATCCATTCAAAATATTCTTTTCAAAGTTCAAGGCAGATGCTGTACACTACCGTAACGGGATCCATGCTCTTCTCCCTTGGCGTAGCTGCCCCATCCACCATACTTGTGACTACCGTATTCACCGAAGCCTTTATGATCAAATCCTTTAGTATAGCCTTTGTCGTATGAGTGGTCATGGTCATGACCGTGATCACCGTGACCGAAGTCGCCGAAGCCATAGCCCCAGTTGTCTGAAAATAGATTGAAGGTTGCGTGATTGTAGTAATAAACTAAACTCTTTAAAACTACCGCTGGCTAAGGTAATGCAAGCTGAAGCAGCCAGTGCAGAGAGGACGAGAGTGTTCATGGTTCTTCTGATAGGAGTGTGGAAGTCGCTAGGTGCTGATGTGTGATTACAATTTTGCTTATATACCTTCGGATACTGTAGCAGTGAATAGGAAGCAGTAGCTTTTTCGATTATGATAGCAGGTTTGAGCTAGCGCTGAAGCCTCAGTCGTGTTTCTAATGTAGTGGAAAAATTTGTGCATGTATATGTGAAGCTTTTTCGAGAGAGTTGAAAAGCGTAGTAGAAACTTTGAACGATTTTTGTTATCTGATGGGGCCGGCTCATTGCGACCTGTTTTTACGAAACAATTCGCGGGCTGTCTCGAATATCAGTGTGTCTCTAAGAAGACTTGCAAGTGCACATTAAAAGAGCAAAGTTGACCGGAAATTTCATTCGGTTCTTTTGAGTAGTAGTTTTTTGGAATTTTTGACAGTTTTTCGAAGTTTTTGATGTTATTTGGAAGCCTGCAATCTCACGCACATACATATAATTACGTAACTCGTGAATATTTACCAGTGTGTTTAATTTAAGGACCAAGAACGATGGTTCATGTTGCATGAAAAATTTTTGGGCTATCAGTTCATTGCTCCCAAAGTGACTCATCGAATGAACAGAGTATGTGCTGGAAGAAGGTTTGAGCCAAAACTGCTCAATAACATTTCGCTGATTATGAATCGGGCAGTGAAGATTTGAGCCACTAACAAATATAATAGCTGACCGACTGCTAAGTCGACCACCAAGCTGTTTCGGACAAACTGCTTTTTGTGTCTACGTGTATTGCATATTCTGCAAAAACAATACAAGTGCTAAGAGATAGAATAAGCTAAACATAGGAAGATGCTGGTTTTCGAGTGACACGAAAACCGTTAGAAATAGTCAACGAAATCTAAAAGACCTTCGTCAATTAGCAAAGATAAGTTTCGGAATGTTTCCGGTCAGTCGAATAAGTCTCGGATGCAAATGAATGATTCTTCTGATAATTCTTTGTACACGATTTTTTTTGTGGAGCGTTAAGTTCGTGCAACCCATCGATCGTACAGGTGAGGGGGGGGGGGCAAAAAAAAACATCTTGCCTATAGCTTACATAGCAAACTTTTCGTTGCGAAGGATGTCTCCGTTGATGGAAGTATCACAGCGAAATTTTTTTTCTCGAGTGTTCCTTTGTAAGCAGAAGCGAACACTCCTTCACTTTTCCCACCGTCATCAGAAGATGACATCTGCTATCGTTGTCCAGCTCAAGGAGGCCCGCTGATTGTTCGGCCTCGAGCAGCTGCCTTATTTCTTCAATCGATTCGGTGGTGAACAGTTCTCCAGAAGTAGTTTAACCCATCAAGGACCCCTTTCGACTGGGTTTCAGATAAGGTTGTGATGGAACACGATCCGTTGAGTGAATTGTTGAGTTCTAGTTGTGCACCATGTTCCCTTGGCAGACTCTTCTGATATCGTGAGTGTAGAAGGTAGCGGCGAAGTTTTTTTTTTCTCAAATCTTCAGTTGGGACCACAGGTGAATTTAGTACAGTGCAAAGGATTTTCGATCTGGATGTGGAGACAAAATGTTTTCTTTTTATCGCCCCTCCCTTCTTATTTAAAGCATAATATATATATCTCCAAGAATCCAATGCTTCAATCAAAGGTTAGCGCCCTATCTCCTAACTAAAGAGAACCACAAGATAACAGCGTTCTTTTGGTGCTTCCTAATGTTCGTAAAAAGTTTGGGCTTTCTCTTCCGGTCGTTGCATCTCCTGTGAAAGACTATGATATAAAATCAATGCATGACCTTACGGCCTATTGACTCTTATGGTTCCATCGTTTCCTTTAGGGAATTATTATGGGCTGTCGAGTGTTTTTTTTCTTCACTCCACAGGCGGAACTTATGTGAGGGTGCATCGGACGGAAAATCTCATTGATTGATCCATATGAGAGCCAACGACGAATATTTCTCGACACGTGCAAGAGGTAGTGTCTTTTGAACTGGGAAGTGGGGAGCTTATATTTAATGAATCGAACTTAATTTTTGAAAGTATCAGAAAGGATTGATTAGTTTAGTCGGGGCTATACAAGTAGGGTGGGCACGCCGCATTTTTTGAACAGAAATGTATGTCAGTGGGACTGCTGCTCGCTACTATACTGTCACGAGAATTGGGGAGTTCGTGAGCCAGGGGGAGTGTAGGGGGGTGGGGGTGAGGGCAGTCACTTGACATGCGTGAAAAGCTGGGTGGTGCCCTACCCCACTTGGATAGCACCGACAGTATTTTGGCAGTCGCTTAAAATCTCCTCAGGAATTACCATGAATTTTGTTGGATTACGGTACTTTAAAAAATTTCAGAAAGCAGGTATTTTTCTTGATTTGCAGCATCAAAGACACCAATTTTTTTGGCTGAGCTTACTTTGAGCGGATGTCAGGCATTCAGGTAAAAAAGATGGAATGGGGGCATCAATCACAGTGAGGAGTGGTCTGTGTGGTGCCCTAGTTGGGTAAGGAGGGTCGTATTTTACTATAAGTTCTTCAGTATAGCATACATTATCGTATGATGTATGCTATGTGCATCATTACGCAATATACAGGGGGGGCAAAAAAAAGACATTTTGCCTCCACTTCCAGATGGATTTAAGCACATTTTACTCAACTCAGACCGAACGGTTCCAACTTATTATTAAAGAGTGCATTCCATTCTATAAGAAAATCTTCATAGTGGCCACGTACGTGGACGGCATCAGAAGAATTAGCCCTGGAAACATGGTGCACTGGTCGATCTCAATGGGGTCTTCGAAGGATCGTGTACCATAACGACCCTTACTGGAAAGCTAGTTCCGAGGGGATTTGCACAGTGGTAGCTAATGCCTCTAGAAAACTATCCAACATTAAATCGATTCACGAAATTGCGTAAGAGCTTCAGGCTGAAGCTCTTACGGTAGACCTCCTTGAGCCTGACGACGGTGACAGATGACGTCATATTCTGAAGACGGTGAGGGCAGTGAAGGAGAGCCTGCGTACACTAATAGAGGAACACTTAGGGAATACTCTGCTGAGGAACTCCCGTCAACGACAGCAATCTCTGCGAAGAAAAAAGAGCCGAAGTCCGACATAGCAAATGGCGATCATGTTCTCAGCAACATATATCCCCGAGTAAACTACCCAAACTTTTGGCCGCAGTCTCTCCCTTCACGTCTACTCCAATGTTGAAGGAAAGCCCCATGTGTACTATGCGGACCAAGTGTGGCGCAGCAGATAGAAACGCTGTGTTGTACATCTGCAAACTGTTGCCAACTCTTCTATGCCTGTGGTTTGGTTTGATTTGTCAGAGTTCCCAGAGTATATGAAGTACTGAACTTCATCTCACTTATCCCTTTACCTTGGTTTGATGAGACAATGAAGTAGTGCTACCGTTGCCATTTGAGGCCACATGGTTTTCAGGGACGGGTTTCTTTTACTCTTCTCTTCTACTTTTCCGGATATGTACTGATTTGCTGATTGTCTGATTCTCAGAGGTTAAAATATTTAGAAAAGCAAAAATCTGAAGACACGTAATTGATACGCCACCAAATGATCCATGTTCCCAAATAAAAGTCGAATGCGTTGCGTATTCCCATGGCATCGTGCGAACACTAAACCTTATTCTTTCACCACTATAACCTGATAGTGTTGTCGATAGTCTTACTACTTTTATTGCTTGATGTTCGGAAAAGTACACAGTTCCGATGAAATGAGTGAACTGTAATTGTAGTTCTGTACTGTTTTGTTTACTGTTGTGCTGTTTTCACTCGTCGACCGGTTTTTAGTGGTGCGCCACAATAAAGTACGCGATCAGTTTTTGCTAACACTAGTTTCGAAATTTCAATTGGTTTCATGTCACAAGGCCTACTGGAATGCTTTAAGGGGTCACTTCACCCCACTTTTTCTGGCATGGTATAAGTGGCCTGTTTAGGACTTCTTGGGCTTATATCTATCTGTCTGGATGATGATTGGATTTTCATCGGCATCATTTTCATTTAAAGAACTAATCTCATTTT